TAAGACTTTTTACTGCATAAAACTTGTATACCCCCCACCGAACATTTGATAAAGAGTTCACAAGTTTAAGTCAATACCCACTTTCATGGTAAAAAAAGAAAGCAGGCGCAATAGCTTTTAATTTAAATGCAAAAATAGAAAATTAGTATCCTCTTTTCGATTTAATTTATAAACTTGATTTTACTCAATCTTCTAATTAATTACATTTTTTTTTTTTTAATTACTGACTCAAATTTATAACTTTTCAATTTTGCATTCACTGAAGTTACAATATTTTGGTTTTTCATAGTTTTATTCACTCCTAAAATCTGAGCATAGGCTCCGCTAGGACAGTATTTATTATTGTTTTGTATTTTATTTACATTTTCCTTCTCATAGGAAATGTTGCCCGAGAAAATAAAAATACGTATTTGACTTTCTTTGCAATTTTTAGTAAATTTATAATGCGAACAGTGTTTTATTTTTTTTCCTTTCCAGATACATGCTATATTTCATTAATATTGGATCTTTTCATAATATTGGTCGGTTTCATTAATATTAGAGTTTTTTTTTTATGAATGTAACAACACAATAGTACTGAAATAGTAAAACCTGAATTTCCAAAATGCATCAGCCAGCAGTAACACAACATCAAAATAAGAGGCAATATTTTTATTGGACAGAAGAGAAAATATCAAGGGGGCTGGAGCAGGGGTTAAAGGTGCCTGATGTGGCCCAGATGATAGAAATGAATGAAAGGCTCATTAAGAACCTTCCAAAGATTAAGCTAATTCGGCTCATGAGAAGAAAAACTAATGAAAATGGGTAATTGAAATTCAGTCCAACATATTCTGAACTAAAGCAATATATGCACACTCAGCAACATAGTGGAACGGCTACCTGATGAAATAAGAAAATCCAAATTGGTAAGTTGTAAAAGGTAAGGCTGGTCCAAAAAGCAAGGCATAAAGCTGTCAACTGAAGTTCTAGGCTTTAAAGCATACATATTTGACTGGTCTATGCATATAGCCAACAGTTTTGCATAGATACCAATCAATTAATGTGTTGAAGTCCGAGCAAGAAAAAGAAACTTGCTTGTAATAGCCATCTCAATAGAAAGAGCATCGACATATGAAATCAGACAGTTCAATTAAAATCCGTCATCTTTCTTGCATCTAAATTGGTGCCAAAGTTCAGTCCAATTTCAGTAATTGCATATGAACAACGAGTTTTTGCATGAAATTCTTGTCACCCCGCTCTCATTGCAGCTCAACCCAAAGTTTAAAGCAAAGATTTTTAATTAAACTCAAACCAAGAACAATGTAAATCTTGCTGTGAAATCAGATTTGTATATTCATTTAGAAAATAATCAGGTTATCTAGATATGAACCGGGACCTCAAGTTATGGAAAAATTTGGATGTTTTCTTATAGAAATTATTTTTAATTAGAAAAAAATCTGACCCATCAATGAAGACTTTCAAAATTGGCATATGAATATATTTTATAAATATTTTATTTTACACATGTAGTCATCAGTTATAGGTGAAGAATAGGTTTTTGACTTTGAAGCAAAGTAAAGAAAAAAATAATTTTAGTTAAAATATGAAAATAAAAGTAAATTATACATGTGAGGTAATCGCTTAAATTGTTAAAAAAATGTCCTAAAACTTTAAAATTACTCTAAAATTTTTAATTCGTGTGTTAATAATATTCATGAAAATTCTGCCAATATTAATGAAACACTGTACTTCAAGTCCTGGTACAAGATGTGGGTGAGTAAAAACTTCAATATTAAACGATAATTTTTTATATTTATTAAATTAATAAAAGAATAAAGTACTTTCTCCTATAATTGTTTGATGCAGCATATTCCAAATCACCAGGAAAGTTAAAATATCATTTTTGCATTTTGTTGATGGTAAATTTTGCATTTGAATTTTTTTTTTTTTTTTTTTTTTTACAATTACTAAATTTTTTAAACTATTATATAATCAGAACTATTTTAGAAAGTGACAATGGACAATTTTTATCTGAACATGATCTGATGTTTATTGTTTAGTTATCATTTTTTAACGAAACTAGTCAGTTTCCTGTTGCTTTAAAAGGATCCTTCAAAAACAACTTTCACGAAATATATTGTGCATTTACGCACACTTTTTTTTTCTGTTACTTCGAATTTTTATATTGCGAGTTAAAAAAAAATGAAATAGCGAAATGAACACTTTTTAAATCTACCACTTCGACCACAAAGAAAATTGTGTGTGGATGGGGATTTGGCTTGAATTGTTTGTATAAAAAAAAAAAATCTTTAAAAATATCAGTGTTATATATTGGAAAGCCTTAACGAAGATTTGTAAATTTGACGTTGAGAGTTTTAAAATGAATTAGGGAGAAAAATATCAAAGTTTGATTGACTTCTAATATTTTCTCGATGGATTTTTTCTTCCCGACATTTTTATTCAAACGTTACCTTTTTTTTAGTGGATACCCCAATTTGAGTAAACTAAAAATGCTCAGTTCTTGCTTTTTAAGCAATTTCGAGTAGGCAAGGCGATATATGTAGAATTTTAAAATAAATGAAGCAGTAAGAAGCTAAGCATCTCTTACTCAAATAAGGGTAACTACTAAAAGATAACATTTTAGTTTATTTTTTTATTTATTTATTTTTTTTCAATATTAAAATTGCTTGTTTGAAACGATCTTTTTTTTTTTTTTTTTTTTTTTAAGTCATTTTGTTAATTCACACGTTTGTTATATAAAAATACTAACCATTTAAAAAGAAAAACATTGAAAAGAAAAAAAAAAAATTTGTAACGAGCTATTCTTTCTTTTTCTTTTCTCAACATTTCGAGCTCTTCGGAATGTATCCGGCTGGGTGTCTTTAAAACTTAACACTGGTTTAATTCAAGATTTGGGGGATCGGATTTCTAATACTGCAGATCCTTTTCTCTTGTAAGTTTAATGATTACAATATTATTGGTTAAAAAAGAAAAGAAAAAAATTGATCTGCCCACGCACAACCATATTTAGAGAAAATAAAATCGTAACTTTTCATAAATACAACTACAAGCAAATAGAAATAACATTCTCATTTCTTTTATTTTTGTCATCAATTTTTATAGAACATAAGGAAGGAGAATAGGTGGATATACTAATTTATAGAAACTACACATAGACAAGAAACAAGTTGTATTATTTACTTACTATATTCATCCGACAAGGTCTGGCTATGTTTCATTTGTATTTTTTACAATTTTCGGAGGAAAACAAACAACAAAAACAAAACAAGCTTGTCGTTTGAATTTTATACATTTTAAATTTTTAAAGTTTTTTTATGCAATGCTAACTTTTTTGGGTGGAGGAGGATGCTAAAAACGCGTTAATTACTCCAGTTCATTTGTTGACAATTTATAAAACTGACAATAAATGTAAATAAATATTAAAAAAATCGTTAACCTGAAAGATTTTTAAAAATTTGTCTTAAGCAAATGGCTTGTTTTAAGTTCAAATCACGGAGTTCATCATCAACACACAGAAAAATCCTTTTGCTATATGAATAATAATTTCAGATGCTTCTTCAGGTACAAAAAAAGTCTTGTTTCATTAATCGATTAGTAGCATTTTTAGTTGTTTCTTGTCGCCACGTTTATTACTACATGGAAAATGTTGAGACGTGCTATGCTAGTAAGTAGTGATGAGTTGGTGTTTTTTATACGTCAGATCACTAAAAAGTTTCTCAATTAAGAAAAGTAATTTTAAAATTAAAACCTTCATTTTTACTCACATCACATGTAAATCTGTAGTTTGCCTAAAGCGAATTCTATAGTTTGTCATTGAATTGATAAGAGTAGGAGGAACATCAGCAATACGATTGTTTCTTTTGTTCAAGTCCACCCATTTTTTTTTTATACTCAACGAATTTCTAAAGGTAAAAAGTCAAAGGACTTGTTTTTCTTTCTCTACACGAGAAATGACTGAATATTTTCTGTTGTATATGTTTTTCCCGATTAACTTTAGTCAGTTTTACTAAAGACTTGAATTTTGATTTACTTTTAAGTTTCAATCGGGTAAGATTTGTCTTTACTTGTAGGTTTTTTTAATCATTTTATCTGAAGTTAGTAGTACTATACTAGTTTTCTTAAAACTAAAAATACCATGTCTTTGTATGAGAATGTCATTCATTATACTTTGTTAAAATTACACTACTAGTTACACTCCGCACCACAGGGAGTAGGAGGGATAGTGAAAAGAAAAACCTTACAACAGTTACAAAGAATAGTTGTGGAGAGCCACGATCGCCCATACTTCGAAGGAAGAAACAACTTATTCAAAATATTTTTTAGCTGCTCGTTTGTTTTTTTTGTTTTGTTTTTTTAAGTGGTCATATTCATAGTTGTCTCTACTAATAAACTTATCGTTGAAATATAGCAATTCCAACTTGAAATATTTGCTTTTGGATACAGAGAAGTGTTAGTTTTAACTTCATTTGAAATATTTTTAGCGTTATCGTACAAAAGCGTAATAAACGTACCATGATTACTCCTGTAATTGAAGTACTTACATTTATTAAAATGACCCTTCAATCAGGTGAAGACGTTGGTTCTTATATTCATCGGTTTCTGGTTCGAGTCTACTTGCAACTATAATCTTTAATGTTTTTTTTTTTTTTTTACTATACCTCTTGTTACAATTAGAGAGTATTCTCATAAAATCCGCGATGCAGCTATCATTGCTACCCAGATCTGCCAGAATTTCGATTACTGCACAGTGAGAGGAAATGAGTGCCTTGCTGCTACGAAGTACAAAAACTGCAACCTTTTACTCGCTCTAAAAATGTAATGATGAATGTTGTATTATTGTAGTAGCAAGGTTTACTACTACAAAACTCGATTTTCATTTGCTGAGCGCCTACCTCTTCTTTCTCATCTCCCACTATTCCTCCGTTTATTACCGAATACCACTGACAAGTCTCTCGGCTCAGTTCAACATTCGTTCTCTAAGAGTCTCTCTGAAAGAACTCATGCTACTACAAAGGACAAATCCCCAATCCGTCGAAACATTTCCAATTATGCCTCGAAACGCTTTTAAAGGTAAATAATTCATCATTATTTATGATTCTCTTCAGTTGTGCATTCGACTTCATCCAATAACAGCGAGAAAAATGTTTTTAGGGACAATGGTTATACTTTTCTTGTACGTCTGATGTCCTGTCGTTTTGAGAACTTCATTTTAGGGTTATCACACTGGTTTCTGTTTTGTGATTACTTATTAATTATCTTGTAGCCGACATTCTCATCTTACCTCTAATGTTGAATGTTTTATACCTTTTCTTTTTCTTTGTTTTGCTTTTTTTTCAAAATATGGATAGTGCGATCATATTTATCTCTCCACTCCCATGTCGTTCATTTCGAAACTAAAAATGGCCGAGGTGTATGAATGTTTTTTTGGTGTGTGCATGTGGATATTTTACGTCGGTGGATGCCGGTTTTTTCTGGACACTTAAGACATTTTTTAATTTTTTGTTTTGATTTTTTTGTTTTTTAGCATTTTCTTTAATTAGATCTGATCATCATCGTCATTAGAGATGACTTCTCTCACTTTGTACATATCAGATTTGACTTTAATCGTTAATCGATTTCATCTGTCATAGGAGAAAAAAAAGCAGATTTACTTTAATTTCGTCACAACCATCTTAATTTTTCGCAGATGGTGCTTTTTTTTATTTCACAAGTACACTTTTGGCTACGAAAATTATTGACTATCTTTATTCTCATGTTCAAATTACGTATACACACAGGTTTGACTCCAATATTAACAAAATTTTCTTTGTATTGAATGTCATATAAGTCATATTTATTATACCTTTCAGTTGTATGAAATTGAGCTTTAGATAAATTTCTACTTTTCGCATTCTTTATCAGATTAAGCAGTCTTTTATTGATGGTTAATTTCTTTATGTTACCGCTACGCTTTTCTAACTTCGGTTTACTTCTAACAACAATAATATTGCTATAGTTATGACAGGACTTTCTCAAAGGTATCAACAAGATTCGGTTTGTAAATTCTGTTTTTATTTTTAAATTTCCATTGTTTTTTTTTTTCTCTTTTTGTTGCTCAGTTTTGTTTATAGCTACTGACCAAAATCTACATCCGTCACTAAAGATTTACACTTCCCTGGCAGTGGCATCATTGTTAACCAAAGAATTGGCCTAAATTTCTGCTAGCAAAAAATACTTTTTTTTTTTTTTTTCTTTTTAATGTTAAATTTTAATTTCTTTAATTTAATATTGTAGTACTCTAAATTTTTAATATATCTATAAATGTTAACTTTTCTTCTTTTCTTTTTACAGCTCCCAAAACTAAGCGATCACCTGCTAAGCAAGAAACAGAAGTAAGTAATATTTTATATTTCTCGTTTGACTCCTTTCGGTTTTCTCAAGGTTTCTCATTCTTTCTGATAAAAGATTTTATTCTGTTGTAAATCATGGCGGATCTAATTTTGTACATTCGTAGTTTTACTATTAACATGTTTACCATTTTATATCGTCGTCATCCCCCTTAGTCTTTCACTTAAGTCAATGTAAAAAAAAATATACTCGTTTATAGTACTTTACTATAATTTTTTATTGTAATTATTCACTAGCTGTTTTAATTTTCCTTTTTCTGATTTACTTCAATTATAACTTGATTCTTTCAAACAAAAGCCAGAAGTCTTAAAAATCCTTAGGCTTTGTCCATTTGGTTGTTTTTCTGCTCGATTCCACCGGCTGTCTGGCTTTTTCCTCAACCAAAACAAGAAATCGAATAGACTGGCTTTTGGTGCTTAAAGCTTTTCAATATGGCGACCGCTTAGGTCCTTTAAGTTTAACTTGTCATCGCTTGAAATATTATTTCGTTTCCACTTATTTTCTTGCTTACTATATTCATCTTTACTTTCCGAATATTATATTTAGTTACTTTAAAACCATCAAATTGCTTTTTTAAAAAAGTGGATCTTCGAACTTGTGTGCTTTTCAACACAACGTCATGATACTAATAAAACACTGACGAAAACTAATTTCACTCGATTAAATGAATTGAAAACATTTTAGAATCTCCGAAATTCAATCATATTGACACACCCCACGTTATATTTGTTTGCTTTGAATGTAAAACTAGATAAATCATTAAATCTTTGAATTGTAAGAAACGTAAAGACTCTCAGCTTCACTCTCAGCTTGTACAAACGATGTTGGTGTTGTAACAAAAATTGTTCAAAATATTTTCATAGCAATTCGATCTTTTCTAAACTCTTCTGTTAATCTGTCGAAAATTTTGCTGAATCTGCTTTGGAGCCTTAGTATTTTAGGTGAAGTCCTTGAAAAGTATAATATCCTGTTCACTCGGTCTTTCTAGGCGCCAGTTGAAGTAACCTTGCCAAGTCGGTGTTGATATTGTACCTGCTTATGTCGTGTGTTGAGATCTAATCTCCTTTCTTCGCTCTCGAACAGATAAAAATTGACGAATTTCTTATATTGTACGACTTTATCCCCCCCCTCCGCTACTATATTCTTGTGTATGAAAATGGCTACCCTTACTGCAAGTTCGTATCCGAAGATTGCTGTCCTGCCCCGGACATTTTTTCTTTACTTAACAAAAGTCATTTTCTAGCGATTGTGACCACTTTTACTTCATTATTTGGTCTTTTGTCAATATAAAATTTAGACTTAGTAGGTTAAAAACACAAAATTTACTTGGTATGCAAAGCCTTTATGACGGTATATTTTAGCATAACGTTTTTTGTGATAGTCTTCCAATGTTTTCAACATGATTTTTAACGTTTTCTTAAAAATAGATCAGTTTTGTTATTTGTGTTCTATTTAATTTTAACTTTTGTTTTGTCATTATCAACAATGCTGCTGTCATCGCTCATTCTTTTCGTGTATTGTTTTGTTGCTGTTCAAGAACAAGATTTTTAGTATTGAACATTTTAATTCAATTTTCCTAAAAAAACTTTATAAAAAAACAAAACAAAAAAAAACTCCATTCACAGGATGATTGGAAAGAAATTTGATGTTGTCATTGGACAGTAGTTTATTCATATTGCTTATAACAAAATATATCAGTCCTGTTATTTAGTTCTATTACATAATGAAACGATCACTTATTTTTTAATCTTATTTTCATCAACAACTACTCCATTATGAGGCTATTACTGCTACGCATTTGTGTATTGTATGTATGCATCTTGTGTTTCGGTATCTTCATCATCACCACTGTTTACTACTTATATCATCGATGTCTGAGTTTTTCTAGTTTTAATGACAAACTGAGACATTTAGTCTCGTCTTATAAAGATTTCTACTGCTGAAAATTATAAGTCAAAGCTGAGTCCCTGCCTGTTCGCCATTGCCAGATAATGCTTGCTGCCTCCTCTTAAGCTCTGTCAGTATCTACGTAAAATACTATGAATTTTCTTCAAAGCTTCAATTCACTTTTCTTTCTATATTAATTTTCCGTCAGGTAACTTCAACTCTTTCATATACCAATAAAACTTAAAAAAAAAAAAAATGGATTTGTAGTAAAATAGTTCGTTCTGTTACGAGTGTATTCGGATATGTTAGTTGTTTATTTGCCTGTTTTTGTATTACGATACCAGAATGAATTTAAAATTTATTAAACACGTATTCATCGTGGTGGTATATTTTACATACCTTTCGTTAAATTGTCTGTCTTAATCAGTACCAAAACCACCACCAGCGCTCTGTTCCGCTGTCTTCAACGTTCCATGCTGTTATTTACTGTTCATAAACTTGTTTTTGCTTTCTTTTCTGTGTTCTCGAAATGATTTCCTTATACGCCTTCTACTAGACTTTTTTTGTAATTGTCACTATATATAATTACCTTTCGATATCCGTAAGAAACAAAGTCCCCGGAGAAAGTATTCACATCCAAACCTTATTGTGCCTAGCACTATCCGTTAGTATTTGATTGCATTCGGAAATTCCTTAAAATTTTCTGTATTTGTGCTATGTACAGTAGAAAATCAAGGAAAAATCACTTTTAAGAATGTTCATTGTGTAACTAAACGCGAAGATACATCTAAAATATTGCCCTTAGTGTTATCGCTACTATTTATACTACTATTACGACGACGACGACTACTACTACCAAGTATTCGAAGGAAGCCGCCCAGACAAGATGGCGATGTGTGTAGCTCTACTGTATTTATGGACAAGGTCCTTCTCTTGCTGGTCGACCCATGATAACGATTATTTCTATCATTAAATTGGCTTATTCTCTTATCGGATTTCGACTCGTTTCTATACTTCATTCCGGCTAAATTTGGTTCTAAATTCTTGAATGCGTTTTTAGTCATTCACTTGATTCTTTTATCACCAGTCGAAAAAAATAGAACTGCTGCTACTACTATCGTTTCAATATTAGCAAATCTATTGCCACATTACGCGCTTTCGCTCATACACACTTTGTTCAAGAAGTATTTTGCCATTTACCTTTCGTCTAAATAGAAATTAAAGTTCACTAGTTAATTTGTTGAAATAATGTGCTTGTTGTTTGTTCATTAAACTATATTACTATGGTACTCCGGAGATAAGCTGCCCTCGACTGTTTTCTCCCCCCTCCCAAGATCATAAGGTAAAGGTAGGTGTGTACTGTGTAATATATGTGGCTTTGTGGTTTATCCTTTGCACTTTTCGTTTCATTCTCTTTTAATAAAGTATTTATGGTGGGCGTTATTTTAGCTAGTTTGTATCTTAGTTACGATTTGTTTTATTGATTATTCGCTTTATTTCTGAATTATATCGGTGTAGTAGTGATCGGATAGTAATGTTGTTTTTTTGGGGTTTTTTTGCGTTAACATGATGTTTATAATAGGATTTTTCGTTTCTTTTCGAATAGATGACTAGTTTTTTCTTGTTTTTTTATTTTACCACTTTGTTTACAGCCTGAAAAGTAACTTTGTACTTTTTTCTTGTATATAACTATATTTTTTACTAATCTTGTTGCCATTATCTGCTGTTTTTGTTCCCTTTTTCTATCATTTGGTCAGTACCTGTTTTACTCTCCTCAAATAGTATGGATGATAATAATACACTGCGTATCAAATAACGTTATGGTTACGCCGTCGTCAGTACCAAAGACGACTATTGCTGCACAATCACCGGCAAAACCCGGTTGGGTGGGAGTTTCTTACCTCAGCAGTTTAAATAGTAACTTGTAATCTTTCCCACTATAAAATGTTCACGGAACTTTAAATCATCAATTAGTGAAATGTGTGCTAAATTATAGATCTTACTACTCTTTTCTTGTTGGTATTATTGTATGTCTTCCTCTCGTGTTCAAAAAGCGATGGCGATATTACTACTACTATTACGTATAACTACTAAACTAAGTATAGACATTTTTAATAAGGCTGCTAAATCATTCAATAGCTGCCTTATGTCGTGGATTTTTAACATTACCTCTAGATTTACTTTTTAAACTTTGTTTTCCCATGATCGATATTATTTTTGCAAGTTAGTCCTCCTCCTTAAAAGTCAAAATCATGTTAAGTTTTATAATAAAACTTAGCATGATTGCTGTTCAATGCACTTGGTTATACGCGTGTTGCTCTTGAAGGTTGTCTATCACTAACAATAACATTGTTTGCATTGAATTTTTTTTTTTGCTCGATTTGAATTTAATTTCCGTAAAGAGGATTCTAAATTTTTGGGTTTATAGCTCCTTTAGCTTATTTTTTTAAACACTTTGACTTGTGGTTTCATTTTATATTCTGTCGAACACTAGGTCTTTGGGACCAGAAACTACTGATATCGAAAAATTTATTTTAGAGTTCAGAACTTATTTTCAGTGTTTCTAGGATCTTAGATGAGATGAGTGTTAAATATTTTAAAATATTCTTGTTGCGTCAATAATTTCAATTTTTTTATGCGAGAGTTGCATCTTTCATTTCTTTTGGCGATGGTAAAAATAAAAATCGTCGTAGCTCTTTTGTTTGTTCATGAATTTTTTTTACACTCCTAGTCTCAATAAAACCTAACAAGATTCCCGTTTTAATTTGTGTAGTAATTTATATAAGCATTCTTAGATTAATTTTATGGTTAGAATTGATTGGATTGGGAGGGGGTATAATGATCACTTTTTTTATAACTTGTTTGTTTTCTCCACGTAGAGTAAACTAAACAGTTTACTCTACGTGGAGAAAGAAAAACTGCTGTGTTTAAATAATTATGCGCTTTACTTATACTGTTGGTCTACATTTTCTTTGTCCAATACTCCCTGAAAATTAAAATAGTCTATTTACCATTGATCATAGAATTGTCTTTATCAAATTGAGCATTTTTTTAAATTTATTTTTATCTTTTGGCAAGCGTCCACAACACAGGTGAATGCATATCTGCGTTAAACACTTTTTTTTTTTTTTTTTTTTTTTTTTTTTTTTTTTTTTCGCTGAATAGTTCTTGGTTAGATGAAAGCATTTAACAAAAAAAAAAAAAAAATTTTGGAAATGGTTGGCTTAAACTCGTCAGCAGTGCAGACAGTTTTAACACTACTTTTGAGTTAGTACTGTTTATTTTAATTCAAATGGACCCGAAGTGTGATAAAATCACTAAAATTCAACTACATGATCTTAATTAATATCATTTGTGAAGTTCATTGCTCCCTCTTAGAATTACGGTTGGAGATTTCAAATTCTGCAAAGTATTTATGAAATTGAAAGACAAAGGATCTTGGCTAAAATTCATTCGGTGAGCTTTGACTATTACAAGAAGCTTCCACTAGTTCTGAATATTTGTTTTTACATTATTTCTAGCAAGTGTTGAGACTGCACGGAACTTTTCAGTGAAACTTTTATTAAATATTTTACCAATCTTAAATTTTCTCAAAAATATTAATTTGTACACTTAGTCTCGATGTTATTTGTTTTTGTTTAATAATCCTGATTGGATTATATTCTTTCGGTAGCTTTTTGACTCTCGTGTAACGATAGTTCCTGTAACTAACTTAAGATATTGTGTATTGTGGAGAATGTTTGTATTTTTAAAAAAAATCTTGTGTGTGTGCATAAAAATGTTTCAGTTGGATAGGGAAAGCAGAAATATTGATTATGGCATCTCGCTTTCATCTTTTTAATGATATGTTCATTTTAAACATAAACAATGTTGTGAATTTTCAACCTTTTCAATGTAGACTATTTACATTATTCGGACAATTGTCCTCATCTTTTATTGCCATATTTATCAACGTTTCGGCCTTGTTCAGGTGGTTGGAATGTCGAACTGAACCCTTTATTTCGCTCTCTGGGGTAGACTGTTCTAATTCCACGTGCCATGTCTAATGAATGTCGGTTATCAGTTATCTCCTGTTAATTCCCCTCTCCAAGTTCTCCACCACTTTAACCAGGTATTGAACTTTGGGTCATGTCACTGGATCTAACTAACGCCTTTATCCACTGTGTCATGTGTCCTTGAAACGTTGTGATAAATATGGCAAAGATGAGGACAATAGTTCGAATAATGTAGTGTACAATACCCCATCTCAGAAATATAGACAGATACTTTTTAAGGTTAAAATCACATTGCAATATTAAGCTATTTTATGAAATAACATTGTCTTACCACTATGCAATTCAATTATATTGACATCAAATTCATTGAGCGTTTTTATTTAAAAAATCGAAAACTATTTGCCGTTTTTAGTGTAATTTTAAAATTTGTTAACGAAAACTTATTAAAAATATAAAATAAACAATTGACTTCGATGAAAATTCCGCTAAACTTACGAATTAGTGATATTCAGAATTTTTTCTTCTAACTCGTATTCTGTGGATTTAGTTTTTGGATTGCAGTTATAAATTTTAAATGATTTTAAATATTACGTTGTTTTTGATTTTTTTTATTTTTCTTTAAGGAAGTAGTTAAATATTTTTGCGACATTATCGGCTCTACGCTTAAAAGGGGGGAACAACTCGTGCTTAATAATAAATTTTATTCAAATAAAAATTTCGTATTTCATCGCAATGTTGTCGTGAGAGACCAGCTATCAAAAAAAAAAAAAGTTCGCCTTTTGCGTAATGCTTTATTCTAAGGATTAGCATCCAGATTCATTAGATTAAAAATGTATTCCTTTTTAAACATAATCTTTGTCGCTATTCAGTGGTGAATATTAAAACTTGAATAAGTATATCAAATAAAGATTCAATTAAGTGACGTTTACCTTCATTATTTTTCATGTCTGTATTTATTTAATCTTTTCAATAAATTTTAAGCCTATGGTCAAATCATGCTGAAAACACCAGTTCTCATTTGATCACTTTAATTTAAGTAGGGTTGAGTCTGGTTAGTACTTAGATAGAAAACTGCTCGGTAACTGGTATTGTAAGCAACCTCCTACAATCCAAAATAATTTCACTTTAAATAACCCACAAAGGGTTTATAAGCCATAAAAATTCAATTTAACATTTTAAGTTGTTCTTATGCTTTTCCTGCAAAAAAGCGTTTTCTTGTGTTGCATCAGTTTTAATAAATCACTTTGGCATTAAGATACTTAATGCAAATAGATTCCATGCATGTGCACGTATGTGTGTGGGGCTAAGAACATTCACTTTCTGACTATGGCACTTGGGTTTGAATCGTCAGGACAGAAACTACTTGATGTTATCAGTCTGGATAAGTTATCCAAGCATGTGAGTGGCACCTTTGTGTAGTCCTTGGAAATCATACCACAGTGAAGTGCCTGCCTTGTTAGCAGGGGTGACCTGAGTTTTGTGAGTAGAATTGGGTTGGTGGAACTATTCAAAAGTCATTAATAGTTATGCTAGCACAAAGTCACGACTTCTTGTGATCATAGTTTTGAATCCCTGGGCCTGTTCAAATTGATGATCGTGCCAGATACTGTAACTAAGATCTGCTCAGTGTAGTTGTAGTGTAAACCACAAGTGGACTTGGTGGGTGCTGAATAAATCTTAAGACAGTAACTTTCCCAAGGAAAGCAATGCATTGCACAAAACCAATGTAACTAATATATTCTTTCTGTAACTGAACACATCATTTGTCAAATGAACTAGATATTGATGGTAATTAGTACATAAATAACTTTAAAAACTATAAGTGAAAAACGTCTTAAGCAGACATTTGTATTTAACACTTGGTTTACTGTTCAAATAATATTTAACAGGGTTCAAAAAATGCCTTCAGAAAAAAAAATTTCTTGTACAGACTATAAAGAGACATACTTTTTGTAATTTTAAATAATAAACACTGCATTAATAATTTATTCTTTCAAATACTTTTTACTAGTTCTTCCTTTCACTTACTGTTTATTGGGTGGTGGGATGTGTGGGTGGCATAAAATAGACATCACTGCTGTCTTACCATACTCTTTCTTGGCTTGTTTTGTTTTTATTTAATTCTAAAACTTGTTCTATCAATTCAAGTGATTCGGCATAATTAAAAAAAAAAATTTGGACAATGGGTGAGGAGTGCTTGGTTGACAGGTCTAATGTAGTCTATTAACTTTATTTGGGACCCATTCAATTTTACCAGATCCCACAAATCACCATCAGCGTGTTCTGGGGACTGACTAAAATAAAAACCTATCAACATGCGCACACACTTCTCAGCTAGTTATGCTAGATTATACATGATAATCTGGTTGCTGTCATCCCTTAGGCTAACTTATAATGCTTGTCTTCTAGTCCAAAGAACTTCTTTCGGCTTCTAAAGGCAAAACATAAAAACAATCTTTGGGGTGTATAATTATTTCCTTGTGTCTAAAGTCTGCCACTAATTAAACGTGTTGCTCTATATCTGAAACTCTTAAAGAGAAACTATATATGATGTGATGAAATGGAGTTTAAATTCTTGGACTTATTTTGGGAGACAAAACTCTCACAATTGTATTTCAGTATACTAATCTTGTAGATCTATGCAAGGCTCAGATTTTCATTATTGCTCACAGATTTTAGTGCTGCTTGGTTACTAAACTTTGAATTATCTTATACCTTATTAAAGTATAAATATTTTCCCTGAAACTTAATCTGTATGTTTATTGAAAAGTATGTCAGTGTCCAAGAATGAACGTATGAATTACTGACAGAATAAAGCTAGGTACTCTACTAATTCAGTATACCTAAGCTGAGGAGTGTTTAGTGACCCCCCCCACACACACACACAATTTTTAACAATCTGTCACCAATCTCTTATTTTCTTATGTCATGTATGGTCACCACACTTTTGAAATGGGCATGTTTATACATAAAAAAAAAAAGTTGAAAATTAAATTTTCACTTAATAAACCTAACAAGGACATTTTGGGAGAAGTTTTTTGAAACTTTATAAATTATAATTAAAAAAAAAATAATTTTTTTTTTTTCTTCAGACTATAATATCCTTTATATATATATATATATATATATAATTTACAAAAGCAATTAAAAACTTATCTAATTACATAGTTTTATTGCAGTTTTTATCTTACAATTTGGAGCAGGTTTTCAATAACTGTAACTGTTTGAAAAAATGCATTTAACTAATAAAACAAATTTGGAGGATTTAATTTCATAAAATTAAGTGGGGGTGCAAATATAATAAGAAAAAATACTTTTACCAAGATTTTCTAAAAATAATTTCAAAAATAAATTATGAAAATCAGACAATTATTTGATTTTTTTTTTTTTTTTTTTTTTTTTTTTTTTTTTGCAAAAATTTCCAAATTAATGTGTTAAATTTTCATGGCAATTTCTGTTATACTGACACATAAAAGGAGGGAAAAAAATTAACCAAAATTTTGAAGATGTTACAACTAAAGTTTTAAAAAAAATAATTACAAAATATTTTGGTCTTTCTTCTTAGTAACATTTGGGGAAATCTTTTTTTATTGTTTGGAGCCCCCCCCCCCACTCACCACCACCAGCAAATTAGTGGGGGTACCTAAATAAGGCTATTATAATGGTGCATGTGGTAGTAACAAAACTGTAAATCAGGCTTAGAATATTGCTAAATTTAAATGTTTGAATGACATGTGACCAAAATTTTGCAATTCTTAAAAAAAAAAAAAATTTTTAACAATAAATCAAAGGAATATGAATAGCAGCTGACATTATTTTCAGGCATAAATTTAGAAAGCTTGAAATGCCTATCTAAACTTTTAATTTGATAGTTGTTTTCTTTTCTATTCCAGTTATATGCATCTTCATCGAAAAAAAGACGAACGAAAGATGATTTTTACACTTTCTGCACCATAGTGCTATCATATACTCAATATGAATCTCTTAAACGAGAGGTAAGGAAGGTTTCTCTCTTAATTTCAAGCATCTTTGACATGCAGACAATAAATCCTCTTGTTAGCTTGATCCTGCATAACTAAAATTGTTTATTGTGAAGCACAGAATGTTGGATAATTTATGAAAATACATGAACAGTGCAATGGTGAGAGGGAATCATGGAAAATAATTGTATATTGTTTTGTATGCTGAAAGCAAAAGAATTTGTTTACAATATTAAGAAAAAAAAAAAAAAAAGAAAAATATATACACTGCCCTATATGTACTTAATGTAATTGCTTAATTTAAAAATTTTATAAAATTGACCTTAAAACTTTATTCATCTAATAGTGGCCATTGTAGTTTATCATTTTTACTTGTTGCTAGTAATTGTTAGGATGTTAAAATTCTGCTTGAAATTTAATATTTTATTTTTCACTTCAATTTACTTCTAGGAAGTTAATCCTAATTACTTAAATAAGATTTAGAGCCATTATATTTAAGCTTTATAATGATTTTATTTTTATATTTATAGTAGCTTTGATTTAAAAATCTTTGAAAAGCCTTTTTATGTGTTTGTTTCTCATGAATCTTGAGATAGTAAGTTTGAATTTTTATTTGATTTTTAGGAATTGCGGCAACAAAACAACATTAGCCCTGTTGGCAGTGGAGGTAGTGCTGCAGACAGCTATTCCTCTGACAGCACAGCGTCTCTCTCCTCAAGTAGTCTTCAAGAATGCCTTCAAGATAGTTTACAAGATGGCTTGCCTGTTGACAGAGTGCAGCAGCCGACACAAGACACTACTCCGACTGCCATCAGCAGCAGTAGCAATCCACTGAATGAAAGAGTGACCACACCACATCAATCACCTAAACAGCAGCAGCAGCAGTTTTTAAAGCAGCAGCAAGCCCCAAAACATCAACTGCAGACTGTGAAACCATCACAACAGCCACTCCAGCAATCTAAACAGCCTCAGCAGCCTAACTTGAAGCAGTCACCTCTCTCTAAAAATCCACTTTCAGTATATGATGTTAAACACAAACAGCCTAAACAGCAACAGCCTAAGCAGTCACAACCACAGCAGCAGCCTAAGCAGTCACAACCACAGCAGCAGCAGCAACAAACATCGCCTAAACATCAACAACCCCAGATCAAGCAAGAACCATCAGCACCTACTCAACCCACCCCACTCACTGTGACCCCAACTTCAACATCAATGACTCAGTCACATCACCAAAATACCACTAATCGAGTGGAAAGCAAAATATCCCCTAAAGTAATTAAACTAGAACCGTCTACTTATTCCCCACAAGAGCAAAATTCTCACCAAGAGCAATTACCAGAAGATAAGAAACCAAATAGATTTGAATTATTACAGCGGCCAAAGCAAGAAGAAAATTTCTCTGCAGGAGGAAAACAGAAGATACATATTAAGAAAGAGGTGGTTGAAGATGAAGAAGTATTGAAGGATAAGGAAAATGAAATCTCTAAAGTATCTCCCCAAGAGCGTCGTGTGAATGCTGTAAGGAAAGCTAACTTACGCTATTCCAAACTGGAGGTGAACACTAGTCATGAAAATGCAGAAAGTAACACAGACAGTTGTGCTGACAGCATACACAGTAATTGTAGCTCTTCACCTGATGTGAATGAGACAGGTGAGTTTTTGATTAACAAATTTGTTTATTGCTTCAAGGATATCATGTCAAACTTGCTATTAAGTAGTCAACTAGATTAGCTTGCTGACCATTTGCTCACAAAGGTTTTCAATTAGTTTATTTTGCTGTTAATATTTTAACAATGAAAACAAATTATTACATTGCAAAATCATAAAAATCATGTCTACCACTAACTACTTTTTTTTTTTTTTTTTTCAGATGAAGAATCATGGGACTTGATAACATGTCATTGTTTAAAGCCATATGCTGGACGACCAATGATTGAATGCTCTGAATGTTCTACATGGATTCACTTATCTTGTGCAAAAATTCGAAAGTCAAATATCCCAGAAACATTTGTTTGCCAGCAGTGTAGAGAAGCAAAATTTACAACACGTAAATCTAATAGAATCCGGACTGAAAGCAAACGGATCAGTATCTAAAAATCTAAATGTTGAATTTTGTCCATCACCTTCACTACCACATCACCTTCACCACCACCACCACCACCGTATATCTTTCATTTGTGGTTGTAGGAAATGAGACAATTGCACTTCATATACAGTTTGGATTGCTCAGATCCTACTACATTCCATTTGCAAAGAGCTACTTTGTTGCAAAAAAAAAAAAAAAAAAAACACACACATACAAGTGATTAAAAACACCCTTCCAACTAAGCCATTAAAAAAAAAAAAAAAAAAAAATGTACAAAATTCTTTTCAAAGATTTTCTGTATGTTATGTAGATACATGTTCCTGCAGAAACAGAACTTTGTGGAAGTTGGTGTCATACTATGGAGACAATGAAAGAATATATATTAAAACCTTAAAAAAATTATTCCATCACATTTTTCTATTACTATGTCCAATTTGGACATTATAATGAAATCTAAGTGACCTTCATAAAAAAGAAATGGCACACTTTTCAAAAATGGTCTTGAAATTTTGGGCTTTTTTATCAGGCTATGTTGTACAGATTTTTGACTTTGTCATCTTCCACTTTCTTTTTAATTGTCAAAGTGGGCACACTCCTCTTCCTCTCCCCTCACCCATAGGCTGAATGTCCAACTTTAATTTCAATATGTTGTCTGCTCTCAAAAGTATTGGAAAGTCAATTTTAAAAAGGAAAAAAAATTAAGTGACTTTCTGTTGTTGCTGTCATTACAAGAATAAAATATTTTTCTTAGGTCACTAATTAATGCTTCACATTAGCACAACTATTTTCTTGCTTTGTTATTCTCTAGTTAGATGAGGCAATTCCTCTCAATCATTTGTGATTGTGGTTATGACTACTGTCAAACCTAGGCTCTTTAAAAATATTTTGTGTGGAAAGGAATGGGAAATTTTAGCATTTCATCATCCCAGTAAATCCAACAAAAGAAAGCATTTAATCATTACATGAATTTATTATAAACTGAGCCTAGTTATATATTGATTGGCCATTACCAATGCTTCAAACCTTCAAATAGCCTTTATCATTTAGATAAATCGTGTATTACTATAAAAAAAAAAAATAGCAAGTTTAAAATCTTTAATTCAGGGAAGTTTTATTGTAAAAAATTATTAACTTAGATTTTTAAAGAATCTGTGTGGAGTCTCGGTTAATACTAAGATTAATTCACCTTGTTCATTTGAAACTCGTGTAGAAAGCTTTTTACATTTTGCAAACTGAAAGATTAACCGAGTTAATGTAGTGTGTTTACAGGGATAAGACATCCCTGTTTCTTTTTCATGTTAGATAGGTCCTGTGTTCAAAAGCATCAGTTACAAGTAAACTTCTTAACCATTTTTCAATCTTGGTGTAGCTCATCTGGTTTGTTTAAAATAGGTTGGCTTGAGTTTGAGCTATAAGATGGCCAGTTCAATATTAGTTTGGTCTGTTTCTGTATTCATACTGTAGTATTCAATGGTCTACTACAATGGTGGTATTGATCATTGGACTGTGTTTTGAATAAAGAAACATTTAATATTTTAATTAGCAATTATTCTCGCAAATCAAAGTACATGTTGAAGGGACCAGTCAGAAATGAAACATAGATGATCTTACTTTTGCCCCAGTTTCACTGCTTATTCTCTGCACCTCCAAAATAAGTTAAATCTTATCACTGGAGGAAAATATACCCTTTCCTTTTAATTGGATCATAATCCATATATACGGAAATATAAAGGGGTGGTTATGGTCAAAAGAATGTGAGTACCATTTGGATTGTTTCCAGATGGTTGCTGGCTAATTTGTACTGTGTGTACACTTTTTCTTTTTTGGAAAAAAACTCTATTTCTATGTTATACATAGCATTTTTTAAAAAAAATATTTTTTGTGTCTCTTGCACTGTCCAGTACAAACCAGTGGTTTAGTTTGCATTGCTTAACTTAACCAGGAGTGGTCAAGTCAGTAATTCTCTTCTGCTGTCCACTACACTTTTATCTCTCTAGAATTGCAGCCAACCCACTTTTAACAATCATTTAAAACTCAATTTCTTTGACTTTTCTCAAATAGCCAATTTATTGTTGCTTTTAACTAACGTTATTTTCTGCTCTTGCTTTTAAATACTCTTTACCTGTCATTTTCACTTCACATTTATGCCTCAAGTTGACATGGTACAGGTTCCAATTGTAATGTGCGCATTTCTTGTCCCGTCCTCTGGAAATGTCCATAATTTTAAGGGGTACAGGAGGTACATCCCATCTTCTACTCCTACAGTTGGCTGCTACTTTAGATAGTTGCAAGCCTCCCCAGTCAACCAGTTTTCTGGTCACTTACCCTGACAGTGTATGTACAATTCTGAAATTGCAAACTAATCCTCTGGACTCGTTTTTGAGATTCCACATTCTTGAGACATTGTCACCTGTTATTAGAAAATACTGATTTCAATAAAAATTTGTTTGAAATTATAAATATTAATGTTTTGACATTTTTTTTTCTTCCTCACATAACTTGGTGACACATGAAGACAAAATTGTCACAGTTTGAGTTTTTATAATTTTAATGCTTAAATTATGAAAATTACTTATTACCATTTTAAATGCTAATAAAATCTAATCCAGAAATAGGGTATTTACACAAGTCTCTTAAAAGTATTTTTGTTTTATTTTACTTCCTCTTGCTACAAAGGTGGCTTCTCATCCCTCAAGTGTATAAGACAATGCACCCCACCCCACCCCATCTGGAAATAGTTTTCTTGCCATCACCAAGACATGTTCCGTCCAGTGACAAGTAAAACTAATAAGATTTGTCATGTTGGGGGATGCAGAAGTAGAACAGTTTCTGGGGTGAAGGATCAATTTACATTTTACTGACATTAGTATACTAAAACTGTGCCTCACATATTACTTTAAAAAAAAAAATAGATCAGGGACTTGTGTAATAATAGGCTACAGAGTTAAGTGTCAGGAGTGGTTTATTGTTTCTAATTGATGACAGTACAAATAAACATTAAGCTAATGAGTGACTGTTCTATAATCTAAATTGTATTGCTCAGCTTGTATCTTAGTCTTGTATGTATATATATATATATATATATATATATATATATATATATATATATATATATATATACACACCCCCCCCCTACACAACTAATTTCTATCCATCCATTTGCTCCAGCAACTGTCTTGTAAGCCATCCATGAGCTTCCTCTTAACACACAAATTGCCCATCTGTCTATGTAGAGCTGGCAACATACAGCTGTGCAGAAACCATCAGCACAACATTTACACTTATAGTCCATCATCAAGACTCAAATCACACCATTATTAAATGTAAATAAAATGTGTGACTGCAGGATCACACTGACCAGAAATATATAACTGTGATGGCAATAAAAATATTCTATACTGAAATTGATTTATTTTCCCCTCCATTTTTGTTTGAATTAATGTGATTTTTCTATTTATGTAGTTTTGCTTGCATATGCATTCATTAAATGACATTCTAGATCCATTTCATACAAAATTTATTTTTAATATTGATGAAATTTTTTATATATATATATATATATCTCCACACAGTTTAAGTATAGCACACTTAACTAAGGTTTTCAGATTCATCAAAGGCCCTACTCAGCTTTACCGTAAGGTAAGTAACCTTTCAGTGAGCAAGGGTGCAACAACTAAGAAAAACTACATGGTAAGTATTAAATATTTCTTTAGCAATAGTCATTATTTATCCTGTCTATCTACACACATACTTTCATTTATTCAGTTACATGAAATGGGTTTGAAAATATCTTGTCTTTTTAGAATAATGGGCTGCTAAAACTTTGAATTCAGGGGAAACACTTGAGAGCAGTGGTTGATAGTCTAGGTACTAATCCCAACAAATGGGTGGTTAATTTGACTTGACGTTCATATAACTTTGTGTAGTGGCAGGACTAGCTATAAAAGCCTAAGTGCTGTCCATTTTTTTTTTTTTTTTACTGGAATTATTTGACAGTTCACTAGAATTTCTTCAGAGTGAGAATTTAGAATCAATGGTAATTTTGTATATGGCAGATTTTTTTTAATGACATGAATTTGCAACTTCATGGAAAGAATGTTAATGTGAACTTTGAGAATGCAACTTTATTGCAGATATGTGACATCAAATTTGAATTTCTCTTGTTACACACAAGTTTATCAAGTCTTGTGGATACAAAAATATTGCTCCAAGGTATCTGAACTAGTCAAATTTATATTCCTTTCTTTTTTTATCTTGTGGAAATAGCATTCTCCAGAGTGAAATCATAAAATTGCCTCCGTGCTTTAGAAAGGAAAGACTTAAGACTTTTTTTTTTTTTTAGCAAGAATCAAAAACTGAATAGCATCAGTTTTTTGCTCTTACGTTCCTTTCTCAGTCTAATAATCCAAATAAATGGGTATCCATAGCAACTACGTCCTGTTTCCATTTATCTTTGTTCATAGTTAAAATAATGTCAATTCTAGTGTTTTACACAGGAAAAGGTTGCTGACCATGTTTTTGACTAACTGCTGTAAGTTCTATACTAACAGAATTTGAAAGATTAAATCCAGCATCTGAGTGGATATTTCTGGGGTTCAATTAGTGGCAGAAGGGGATCCATCAAAATGGAATCTAAAAATCTCAGCTAACACTGGATTTAAAAAAAAAAAAAAGTGTCATTTGGAAGTTAGTTTCATGGTGTTTAAACATGTAACTGACTTCAATCAAATTGCTATCCTCTATTAATATCAACTAATTTAAATTCACTAGTAAACAAAATAACAAGTGTTCTTAATCTGATAAGTGGGTGAAATTTCTCCACTGACTTTTTTTAGTTAGTTGAATCAGCTCATAACGTAATCTTGCTAAATTGTTAATACTTATGCCTGCTCTTGAAATGAGTTAAGAATAGAATTTGGTATAATTCATTCAAGCATTTTGGAATGATGAGAAAAAGATGGTCAGTGATAAATGTATTGAATGGATGTGACAAGTAATTTGGACAATG